TTTTGGGGGAAGTGAGGCTGAGGTGCCAATTGCTTGGAAATTGGGCCGCAATGCAAATATTGGAGGGAGAGAAAGAGCGAGAGAGAGAGGCAGAGAGGGGGCAGAGGGATTGGAAAACTTATCGCGCACTGCCCTGATGACACCTGGCAACATATAAATAAATGGAGGGATTAGGGAGGAAATTATAGAAATGATTGGTGATGGAAGAGAGAGAGAGAGAGAGAGCGGGATGAGAGTGCGAGAGAGAGAGCAAGAGAGAAAGAGAGAGAGAGAGCGATGAATTGTTTCGCAAAAAGGCAAGTTAGCAGAGATCCTTGAGGAATTCTGAGCAAGCCAGCAGAGGCCCTTAAGGACACGGCAAGCTAGCAGAGATCCTTTAGGAGCCACCAACTCCAATCTTGCTTTCATTCCCTTTAAAGTCCTCCGCAATTTTTCTGCCCACAAAAACGGCATCCCGCGCCAAAAACAGTTTTTCATGCGTCGCTTTTTGCTTTTGCCCGGCGCTCGGGGCAAAACAGCGTGGAAATGGAGGGTCGGCGGTATGGAAAAAGTGTTCATTGTATTCATTCGGAGAGCGCGGATCGACACTAGACCCCACAGCTGGTCCCTCACGGAATAGGAAAGAGAGGGAAGGGATGGACCCAATATTTCTCGGGTAATATTCGGATTGAAAAGCGGATATATCTATTGGATACAGCCAAATAATGGTAGACTGTTAGCGGCAATAGCAAAATACAAAAATACGAACCGCAACGGAATGACATGGTATGGCAATAGGAGTCGAGGGGAAAAGGGCGTAATCTGGCTTTCGTCAAAGAATCTCTGCTAGCATGCCCGTTTTACTGTAACCCAGATTAACTCCGCTTCCTTAAGAATCTCTGCTAGCCTACCCATCCTCGGGAACATGCCAAATCAGGGTAAACCAATATCTTCTCTAGTATTTGGGGGTGAAGTACCTCCCCTCTACCCTCCCGATTGGGTCGAGAGCCCTGTGGTCATATTCTTCACAATTAGAGAGCGAGGCAGAGAGAGAGAGAGCGAGAGAGAGCGTTGAGAGGAGTATCGCGTAGCATCGACCTTGAAGCCACTGAAGTGAAGAAAGTATGAGACAATCCACATAACGGACAGCCGGATATACTTGTTGAGGAGAGAGAGCGATAGAGAGAGAGAAAGAGAGAGAGAGAGAGAGAGAGAGAGAGAGAGAGAGGGAGAGGGAGAGAGGGAGGGAGACAATCGGATATACTCATCCACCAATATTTGCCATTCGATTCATCAACACTTTAGGGCAAGGTCGAGCTGGAAATTGGGTTTAAAGGGCCATTGAAGGCTCGAGAAGAGCCAGTAGAACCAGGTGAGCTGGCAGGGATTCTTCGGGATAATTTTGGGGATTGACGAATCAGCAGGGAGCATTTGAAGTCCAGGAAAGCAATCAAAAATTCTTTAAGGTCCAGGCAAGCCAGCGGAGAGTCTTGAGGAATCGGGTAGCCAGCAGGAAGTTTTGACTGGAATAGCTGTGGCCTAAGAGCGGAAAACGCGACAATACCGACACGTAGGGCCAAAATCCCGACATGCAAATCGCCATTTCAAAGGTAGTCAATTTCAAAATGTTATTAAGAATTTGTCGGGTTTTTGGCTGTCGGGATTGTCGCTATCAACATCTAAAGCCTGTCGGTATGATGGCTAAAATTTACCCAAAATATCGTCTTGCTTGCTTCCTTAAACCAAGATTTTTCGATATTTTCTGGGACTCGGACCTTTTGGGCTCGCTTTTGGCCTGGGGCCCACCTTCCTGCGGGGCCACTTTTGGGCTTTTCGGGGGGGTGGGTGTCGGCAGTGTGGGCAGGAAGTGGCGCTATGGCCCATTATCACATCTAGGGGGTGGTAGAGGGCATTCAACCGTATCAAGCCTCTATTATATCTGGCAACCGATCCCCGTGTATGTTGCCGACAACCACCCCCGAAACCCCCTGATCCGGTCATTTACCCCCCCACCGGGGTCATTTGCAGTCGAATGGAACTGGCGGGCGCTAAATCGCGCCTAAATTATCGGCAACTTGGGGACTGGAAAAATCTATAGACCCTATGCCTTTCACGTGCCTTTAACGAATCGGAGTACCTACAGAACTGTAGATTCTAGACCTTCCAAGTGCCTTTAAATACAAAGGACATCGAGACTTCCGGAACCCCCCCGCACCGCCCGTCTTTTGTAGTGTTTTGTAGCCCCCTTCAATACACCACTTCATTAGACGACAGTACGGGATACTCCTTTTGACACCTGCCGCTATGTGAACATCCGCCAAATATGGGCCCCTGGAATGCGGCAGAAGAATAGGAAGGAATTGTTTTTAAAGGGACTGTGAAGTCAAAGTATAGATATATTTAGAGCTTACTAATACCTTTAACAGCCTTCAAAATTAAGCTTTGAAAGTACTACAAAGACGGCTAAGGATCTCTGCTAGTTTGCCGGATCCTTAAGGACCTCTCCTAGGTTGTCTGATTCCAAGAATCTCTGCCAGCTCGCCTCTTTCAATTCCCAAAGAATCTTTGTTAGCTTGATCCTTTGAATTCCTAAAGATTCTCTGCTAGCATGCTGATTTCAACTCCCAAGGGGTCTCTGCTCGCTAGCCCTTTGAATTCCCAAGAAATCTCTGCTAGCCTGCCCCGGTCAAGTCGCAAAGAGTCTCCGCAAGTTGCCTTTTTCCCTATTAAGCCCTGCCCGCGACCGAAAGTTCTGCGTCCCCTGCAGCGCTACCGTAACCCACCCAAAATTGGCCCGTAAATGGTAGCATCGCGGAGATGAGATACAACCATAATTCGTGAAGTTCAAGGGCTAGCAGCTAGTGGTATATTAGGTAATTTCTACCCCTGTAGCTATGTATGGGGGTATGGTACCTCAAAAGGCCCTTCTCCCCCGCCTTGGGTCTGAAATGCTTGTGGCGCAATATTGTCCTCTCCCGAAAGGCCTTCTACCCCCCTGCTAATCCGGTTGCCCTGTATCCCCTTTCGGCATCTATCAAATACACGAAAAAGACACAAGAACACGCGGGACTTTTTGGCTGAATGGCTAGTGGCAGGGGGATTAAAGGGACCGGGAAGACAGGTCAACTTGAAGGTTTTTTAGGGATTGATCTGATTTTTTGGAATTTTCGAATTTTTCGTGTTTTTATCAAGGTTCATCGGAAACTATGCGAATTCATAAAAATTCAGCCCGATGCCGTGGTCCAGGACACTTTGATATAATTATGAAAAATCCGGAACTGAAAATTGGTTAAAATCACGCTTTTCTTGCTAAAATCGACATTCGGGTTTCGACCAAAAAGGAAATATTTTTGATCTCAGGGTTCGAACTCGGGTCGTGAGAATAAAGGCCAAGAACACTACCAATGAGCCACAATCAAAGAATGCCAAAATGCCTTTGTCATGTTTTCAGGTCTTGTTGTGCTGGTTAGATCTTCGGCTTCTAGGTTTCCGACTCGGGTTCGACCCCCCGACCACGACAAGCTTTTGCTTTTGGTTGGGATAGTTTAAAGGCAGGTACAAGGGGCCAGTATACGGTATCAACATCTCTAATGTATCGCAACTTATGCCCCCAAAAGACTGTTTGGGGGGTCAACCCCATTGTGCAAAAGTGCCTTCTCTACCCGCACTTCGTTGTCACCTCATAAAGAGACACCGCCAGATTAGTGACAGAGAGAGAGAGAGAGAGAGAGAGAGAGAGGGAGAAGAGGGGGGATCGGTGTCATCTTGTTGTCTATACAAAATGGACAGGCTGAGGGATGGCGAGTCAATCCGAGAAATGCCTCGGGGTATGAAAGTTAGGGGGTCAAATAAAATCACAATGTTGGCTTCTATAGCCCTAAAAATCAAGTTATACTAACACTACTACTCTATGAACTTTTTTACTACTTGAGCATTCAGCAGAGCAAAAAGCAAAAAGCTGACTTGGCCGGGAATTGAACCCGGGTCCCCTACCTGACTGACGACCACGCTAACCACTAAACCATAGTCAATAACGCGTATTTTTTTAATTTTTGATTAATTCGATCGATGCTCTGCCTTCCTGGCTCCTTTAATTAAACATATTACATGGCTACAGTACCCCCATCGAATCAAGCCGCAAATCCGACCGGCAAATTGACCCTCCAATTTGGTCGGATGGGATCTCTAAGAAGAACATGTGCGTATCCGGAGATGGATTGTGATGTAACCAGCGCTGAAGGGACACCCTAATTTGCATAGATCTTATAGCTCGGGATGATAGGGATGAGTATTTGAGGATGAGAGGGAGAGAGAGAGAGAGAGAGAGAGAGAGAGAGAGAGGGAGAGAGGGAGATACTTGCAGCTGCCCCTCTCCATCTACTAATCGCTTGCATATTGGCCCTGCCCCCGAGCCGGCCGAAAATTAACATCTCGATTTTGTGGGATCATAAAGCGAGGGGGTTCCCAAATAATTTCTGCTAGCTTGGACTTTAGCTTGGCTTTCGGGGGTTCTTTTGCCGTATCGGGGGGCAGGGCTAATTTTTCGAAAGATTTATTCTAGCATAAATATACCGTTTCATTAACTGTTTTTTTTCTAGGCTAGGCTAGGTTTGGCTTAGCTTTAGCATGGACTCGAACCTGGGCTTAGGTTGGGCTTAGGTTTAGGCTTATAATTAGGCTTGGGCTTGGCTTAGGATTGGCCTGGTCTTAACTTAATACCTCCCGAAATCCGAGCCACCCAAATATTGTCGGTCTTTGTCTTCCTCCTCCTCTACATCCGGCCCAATTATCACCTCCCCCCATCGTCACATTGCGCCAGTCCCCTCCCCACTAAAAGTTGTCCCCCTTCTAATTACCGTAACTGCGCGCGGCGGGACGTCGCTTTGTGTGGATCGAATGGTTCGAGAGTCGAGGGTAAACACCTTTTTATTGACCTGGTGTCAAGATATTGGCATATCCGGGGGGAACATCTTTATTTATTGTCAACTTTTGGAATTGGCGTCATAAAAACAACGTCATTAGGCGCTGGGCGTAGCTTGGATATCATCGATGGCCACCTGAAAAAAATCACTAGCTTACTAAAACCTATAAAGTAAAGAAGAAACCACAAATTCCAACCTCTTCACCAGGCATCGTAGCTTCCAATACACTCCTAGTTGAGCGCGGAGCGTCCTGAAATTATAAATTTTCTAATTTTTTCTAAAATAACATTTTTTCCTGAGGATCCAACTTTCGTAATAAAGATATTAGTAGCCATATAAACTCTTTTTTAATATTCCTCCAGTAAACAATATAGAAATTTTGGGAAAAATACAAAAAATATAGATTTTCGGCCGAAATTTTAAATAAAATAAGTTTATAAGCTTCTTAGATAGTTTTCCACTTGATGCAGATTCTTTCCTAAAAATACGATTAAAAAGCAGGTGAAACTACCAGGGATTGTATCTACGTAGTTCTAAAAAAGAAACCCACCTCATCAACTCCAGCGGCAGCAAACTGGGTGCGAATCTTCTGCATCTCGGCGACTTCTTCCTCGCTCGGCTCGGCGTTTGTGTTGCCGGTGATTTGCTTTTTTATCTCTAGGAAAAAGCTAGTTAGAAATTCATATGAGCCTTAGAAGCTTGGAAATTAACTAAGAAGCTTTTCAAAAAGTCAAAGAAAAAAACATAAAAAACTCACTCAAACCCAACGGCATTCCCCTGATTACAGCGGTCGGTGTTACAGCAGCACATCGAGATTGGGATCTTTTGGAAGGTGGTGCTGATGCAGCGGTTGCTCGCGAACTATAAATGATAGCTTCGCTGTCTTTACTTTTCAATTTACTATAGTATCTTACTGTACAATTAAAACCACGTTTTGCCATTAGAATTGATTTAAAAGCTGAATTACCAAGCATCTCCATAGCGAGCAGCCCGCTTTCACGACATCGAGGTATTGGCCGGCTTGGGCGCTCATGTTGTAACACTTAAAGGTATTAGAAGTAGAGGTAGGCTTATCTTAAGCTTAGAAAAAGCTTAACATAAGCTACGCCCTGCTTAGCTTACGGTTAAAAAACCTACTTGAGCTGCGGAGCCGCATGTAACCGTGTTATCGCCGATCGACGTGCCTTGAATGACTTTGAGACCCTAAATTACGACAGATAAACGCCTAAACTTTCATGAAAAAGTTATCTTGATTATAATAAAACTCACATTATAACAGACGATCGAGAAACAAACAGGCAGGAACACAAAAATCCCTAAAAATTGCCGCATTTCCGGCGCGACCGCTGGTCGCAGATTAGATCAATCGACTCGAAACGCCCGCCGCCGCGCTTGTTCCTTCTATAAACAATTTCTCTCGCGCGAAATTCGCGCTTGCTCGCTTTTTCTCTCACCCGGGGTTGGATGTTGGCATTGATTGTCTCTGGATTGGTGAAGATACCGAAATTTGACAGTTAATACGAGGAAACATGCTCAAAAACGCTCTAAGGTTGCATTGTGGAAGTCGGGAACGTTGAAAACGTCTACTTTATAATTTAAAATATATAGAAACGATTATTACAAACTTTTTATTTAGAAAAAGTAATAATAAGATCGATAACTAGCGATTCCGAAAGGCTACTATGGACATCCGGCGTCCCGGCGCGACCAGCAGGTCGATCATACGGTGGGCACGATGGCCGGGGCGTTCCGATTATTCCCACTTCTTTTCCCGCGGCCGAACGGTTTCTTGTTTCCGTATATCTACGCGATTTTCAAGATTTATTTATTATTGCATTTTCAGATGGGCAGACCAGGCATCGAAGCGCTGGCCCGCGGCCTCAAGAAAGGACACCAAGTGACAAAGCTGGATCGGGATCCACGACAATCGCGAAGAAAGGGAGTAAAGTCGAAGAAAGCGGTGGTGAGTATTTTAGTTATTCTTGGTCTTCGAAGTATTGTATTTAGTCCTAGAATTTCTGCGCCTTTTTACTTGCAAGTAGCAGGTATCTTGATTTTGACAAATTCGGGATCTCGACTAACTTTAGTGTGCTCGATCTAACCTTATCTTTTCCAGGCAGTACGCGAACTTGTCCGAGAAATCGCCGGATTCGCGCCCTACGAGCGTCGTGCCATGGAATATCTGAAGATCAGCAAGGACAAGAAGGCGCTCAAGTTCCTGAAGAAGCGCGTCGGAGGCCACTGCCGCGCCAAGCATAAGCGTGACGAGCTCCAGGACGTCCTCATCGCCATGCGCAAGCACCACAAATAATTGCCCGTCTATTTTACTGTTGGTTTTTTTTGTTGAATAAACATTCTTTTGCTCTGCGAGCGGATGTCAAACGATTGCTTGGCAAGGAATTGTGTTGCGATGAGTGTACTCCTGAGGTCGGTCTTGTGCTCTTTTGCGGCGATGTAATACGTGGTAATGTACTTGCGTTATCGCTAAGACTACATACTTTCCACTGTTTTTCACGTGGCCACGATATCTGCGCGACTGTGATCTCGCCTTGCCCCCTATTTTTACGACTCCTTTGTCCAAAACAAACATTTTTCGCCACCCTGTTGGTTCTTGGGAATGGGGATCGTTCTTTCGCGGGCTGCGCGATTGTTAATTTGCCCTTTTATTCATTTTTTCGTTTTCCACCTGTTCTAATTGGCCCACCCTCGCTAATTTTCACCTGTTGCCTCTAGGTGTTTGGCAAACCATAATTTTTCCGTGATCAGGGAACGTTCTAGGTAAAGCTGTAGTTCTACAGTTGGTAGAGTGTAGTTTTGTAGTCTAATGGGAATTATTAGGTGTTTCGTTGTTTAGACCAATCCCGAGGATACGCTTCTTTTAGGCATGTCTATCCGATCGAATTCTCATGTTTTCTGTACCCGTTACGCTGAATGGAGCCATGACTGTCGGCTAAAGCCGGATTTTTCGACTTCGAATCATCATTAGCTCAGACAAAGATCCTGCAATATTAGCGCTTTGGGATGCTTATCCCTAAATCTTCAATTTCCTGGTGCCCGCCGGGGAACCTACCGTACCTAGGGACGTCGGGCAAGAAAAAAGTGAAAAAATGCGGGGAGAAGGGGATTAGATGGGGGACGCGGGATCGCAACAAAGGGCAATTTTTGAGGGGTTTCCCTTGCCATTTCCAAACAAATGCTGGTGATTTTGCGCAAATCCGTTTTGTGAGTTTTTTTTTGGGGAATCCATAGAGGGGAAAGATTGGGCATAAGATTTGGACCGGGGGAGGGGGATTATCTTGCAAACACATAAGTTATCGTGCTGGAATTGTAGGACGGGCTTCGGGACCACGTAAATTTTTTGTAGAGACGTGTAGGATAGGCTTTGACGTTTTTATGACTAATTGAAAAAACGAGCCACTGACTTTCAGAGAAGAAAAATACTTTATACTTTTGATGTTTACTAGGGTCCGAAAACGTGTTCCTGCTCTTTTCTAGGCAGAATTCGACCAGGAAATTCATCAAAATTCACTTTTACTTGCGGTGGAACGCCTTTTTCGCCATTTCAAACTAGCAAGGAGCTCACCGATGATAACTGGTTCCGCTCAGGACCGTTCCTTTCTTTTCCACCCCTCACGTTTCCTCTAGCCGATTTTTGTAACATTTTCGCCTCGCCTGGCCTCAGACAGACAGCCAAATAACCCCGCCAATCTATCAACGGGCCACTAGAGCATGTACTCATAATCTTACTACAGCCAAGTTTCGCGCCGCGCGCAATTTCGTTAGTTAGTTATTCACGCGGAAATTAGTCAGGCTGTCGGCCACTTAATCAAAGTTAATTCAAATTTAACGCCGCCCCCGCACAGCAAAAACGTCATGGTTTTCGCGGAGGGCTTTTGAAGAAGGGCACAGTTTGGAGAACACCCCCGACGTTGGGTCGGGCAAAAATTTGCCAGCCGGGTAAAAATATCCGCAAATTAGGGCCCATTGGCGATTGGGTCCAGGTGGCGGTCCGATTTTAAAAAAAACGCGGCGGCCGCTTTTGACCAATGGCGCACATCATGCGATCAAAATTCGAATACCATGGGTGGTTTTTATTTTTACAAAATGCGCCTGGACGGAGAGCTTTTGTTTGTTGATTGGGTCTAGGATTTCGGGTCGTCAGAAAAAGCATTTTGATTTTAGGTTTTAGGAGATGCTAGCAGGGATCGCGGAGGAATTTTAGGGGGCCTATCTTGTGACGTGCAAAATATTAGCCGACGTGCTAGCCCCAGTTTTTCTCAAGAATTTTACACTGATTTATTGAGAGGAAAGCCCTTTTTCCGTTCTTCATTCAGTTCAAGGGTCACCGCAGTTTAACAAAAACGAAAAGCTATTAGCCATGTTTTAATGCGACCTTTTCATCGCTGAAATTCCCCCGAGGAATTCGCCTCGCCCAGAAGAATTTAGTTTTTGTTTGCCGGAAATTGGCAGCTGGCCCGATTCATATCTTTTGCAGGGGGGGGGAGGGCAGGCTTTTTGTAGGTTTCGCCTTTTGTTGGAGACTAGAAAAATTTGATTCACTCTCGTTAAAAGCCGTTTAATGGGCATTGCAGAAGGTATGAGGATGGAAATTAGATTACAACCCCTTTCTGGGGCTAGAATCAAAATTCCTCGCCGGACCGGCCAGACGCACGCATGTCATTGTTGTTGATTGTAGTCTTGGCCCGTGGATTTCGGGGGCTTCTTTTTTTGTCGGGAAATGACGGGCGGGTGGGGGTGGAGGAATAGGTGGGAACATTTCGAGGGGAATTGATGAGGGCCGGAAGGAAAATGAAATAGAAGGCTTGTGGAAAATGAGAACGGCTAGTTTGCCCTTATTCCTTAAAGGATCGCTGCTAGCTTGCCCGGCTCTTTAATTGTATTTGCTTGCTTGCCCGGTGCCTACAGAGTAGCTGTTAATTTACCTGGTTCCTAAACGGCCGCTGCTCGGTTATCGAGTTCCTAAAAGTTCTCTGCTTGTCAGCCCGGGTCCTAAGGGATCTCGGCTAGCTCGCCTGATGCCTAAAAGGTTTCTGCTAGGTGCCCCCGCTCCTAAAGAGTCGCAGCTAGTTTGCCCGGTTTCTAGATGGTCTGTGCTTGCTTTCCCGGTTCCAAAATGGCCCCAGCCAGCTCGCCCGCTTCCCAAAGAGTCGCAGCTAGCTGACGGGGTCAATAGCCAAGTTCGGGTAGCTGTTCCAATTCATCAATAACCCCCGCTAGATTACCATCAGCCTTTCCGATAATCCAAAATAGCGCAAATACCGTAGCTCTCTGTTCTCCGCTATTCCCGCCATTTTCGCTGAAAGGGATGCCGACGGCATAGTCAATCGGTTACGCGCTGGAAAGAAATTGTCTCTGCGCCTCTCCCCAGGGCGCGCTCTCTGCCCTGTTGGCTACTTGCCAATTTGTTGATGGGGGGATCGACACATGCCATCGGCAGCCCTTGAACTTCCCTACGCACCTTTCCGCCCTATTTTCAGCGTTCCTCTTTTGCACGTGCAAAAGCCAGGTTCCTCCCAATTTTTCTTCAATTTTTTTCGGGTTTCCCCTGGAACATCTGGCTAAAGATAGCCCCCCCCCACGGCTGTCGACTCAGAATTCTAAATGGCGCCACCGGGGCCGGTCACAGCTATTCTAGTAGCCACGCAAAATATGCCAGGTGTTCAGGGTGTTTGCTCGGAAAAAGGTTGTGACAACTTTGTAGTCGGAGGGCAAGATTGCAGTGTTTATTTAGGGAAATAGAGCTATCTGGCAGGGGCTATTGAGGAAAATTAACTCATTTGGGATAAGGATCAGGGTGTCCTAGCAGTGATTTTTGAGGAAGGAAGGCAAATTAGCGATGATTGTTAGGCTTTTTGGGGATGAACGTAGGCAGCTAGCAGAGGTTTTGGGCGGGGGGGGCTAGTAGCAGGGATTTAGGGAAATTCAGGCAATTGGAGACAAACTTGCAGAGTCCATTTGCCAGCTCTGACGATTCGATCAGCTGACCCAGAAGCTTCTCTCGGTGGTCACATTTTAGGGGGACAATCTCGTGTGAGAGAGATACCCAGAGAGAGAGAGAGAGAGAGAGAGGGAGAGAGAGCGGACTGGATATTTGGTGTGACGATGCTTCTCCTCCTCCTCCTCCTCCCTTTTTTGCTGATTTGCAGCCTTGATCAGTCGAAGGACAATCCATTCCATCGATCATTCCAACGCCACACTCTCAGCAGCAGCATCTCCAAATTACCCTCTCGGGGCGGGGCTCAGCTAGACACGAAGGGTGAACTTTTTCTTTTTCGCCCTTTTTCGTTTGTTAATGTGTTCCTTAGAGGATCGTCAAAATAGCCACGTTTTTAGAGGATCTCCATATCTGTCTCTCCCTATCTCTTTCACTCTCTCTCTCCGTCTCTCTCTCTCTCTCTCTCTCTCTCTCTTGCTCCCTCTTTCACGCTCTCTCCCTCGCCCTCTCTCCCCCTCTCTCTCTCTCTTCAGCATCCTCCATTCTCAAAGAATCACTGCTAGCTCCCTCAGTTTTAAATAATCTCTGCAAGCTGGAGAATTTCTCAAATGGCCTTTGCTAGTTAACCCGATTCTTCAAGGAAGGCTGCTAGCTGGCTAAGTTCCGCAATAATCTCGGCTAGCTGGCCCTCATTCCCAAAAGATCTCTGCTAGCTCACCATGCCCTAGAAATTTCCCAGCTCGCCTCAAAGATCTCTGGTAGCCATCGGCCCCAAATCTCACATCACCCCCTCTTCCCCAATTGGGCTGTTGAATGCCCCTCCAAATCCAGCCGTAGAATCTCGTGCTTGGGGGGTACTGTACCTCCTTTGAAAGCCCTATTCAAACCCATGTCATGTTCTTCCCTCCCTCCCTCTAATCTCCTATTTATTGCCCCCAAAAATCATGCTCTGAATTGACTTCCAAAATTGGGCGCCGCCAAATTACCATCCAGCCTCTCAACTCGACCGAGACTGATTATAATTTCTGTTTTCCCCGAAGAGAAAATGCTGAAGGTAACCGAATTGGTGTTTTTAGGAAAATTTGGTAAATTTTTGGATTCTAATGAGTTCCCTCTTGTCCCGGGGGACCTATAAAAACACGCAAAATTGCCCCGAATCTCGGCCAACCAGCAATTAGCATTTTGAAGCGGCAAATTGGGCGAGAGAAAAATGGGTGGATACGGTATGACTCTGCAAATTTTGGAATTTTCTTTTAAGAAAATCTGCAAAGGATTTTTGCGCCCAATTTTTGAATCTTTTCAAGAAAAAATCATCCTGATAACCCAAAATGCCGACAGCCAAATTTCCGAGG